ATCCCTGGCCTGAAGTTCCAGAGCCAGTCATAGATGATTACATCGAACACTTACTACTCACCAAAGACTCTGCTCCAGGACCTGACGGACTCCCATATGCCTTTTGGCGCATGTTTCCAGAACAAACAGCCACAGTGTTGCAAGATGACTTCGATCGCATGATGGCATGTGAGCTCCCGGCGCCAACCCAAGTTGGTGTCTGGATACCTAAGGCTGAACAAGGACCCACTGCAGATTATTTCCGACCATTAGGAATGCCAGATACACTTGATCGGCTGCAAGATGGTACTACTGCTGCCATGCTGTTCCGCACCACCAGGAGCTCCTTCCATCCTGCGCAGACAATGCTTAATGTCTTTAGAGAACCACAAAGGGCTGTCCTCGAGGTGCAAAAAGTGCTTGAAGGAGAGACGTAAATCGAGGGCAGACCGAGAGCCAGCAAGGCGCGCGCACGCGCGGACCCAGGGCAGTGGATCCAGGGTAGCTACCGTTGCACTTTTACTGTCTCTCTTCGACCAACAACGTGCTCGTGGACAAAAAACTGGCTTTCGTTTTGCAGCTTCTCAGGTTTCTGCCCAACAAAAATGTGGAAAACCGTCACCTAAGCAGCTCGAAAATCACAAAATCTGGCCCCCGGCCTCCCGACAAGACACATGGAAAAATCACGCGTCTCAGAACCAAAAATCGAAGACCAAAAGTAAAAAAACATGTCTATTTTTTCACTTTTCTCTTGCCGGTTCCGGGCGGGCGCGTGCACGAACTAGTCACTAGTCCATTCCGTGCTGTAAAAAACAGTGTTTTTTGAAGTCCGCCGTCGCGACCTATCAAAAGCTCATGGTTTTGGCAAAAAATGGCGCCCCCCAGGTAAACCTATATCTTGCAGTTGTTTATGCCATCCGGATGATCACGCCCTGAGCACCTTCGGTGCGGGCGGATTTCCCTCCAGCAAATCGGCTATAGTTGCTTTTAACACTCGTTTCTGAAGAAGTGCAACTTTAGCTGCGAGATCTGGCCTTGAATGGACAGCTGCATACTGGAGGCTTCCACACAATGCTTTCAACCGCTGCAATTTGGATGGTGTTACTGGCGAGCTCTCTTCCTTTCTTCGTGATGCTGGAACATCTATTGGATATTTTTTGTGGATGTATTCGGACTGGCTCACACGAATGGAATAGTCAGGATTCTGCTTAATGTCTAGACCGGTGAACTTTTTCTATTTTCTTTGTCTTAAAGGAAGATGTCATTGTATTCGCTCTAGAGCTCTTTTCAAACATTTCAGTCCCCCCTCCTATTCCATCACCATCATGTGTCCCCAAAATACCTTCGAGCTTGCTGGGATCTTTGGGATTGCGAAGCAAAAACAGACAAACATCGAGTGGGTGTGCTCGGAAACCTTCGGCTTCAAGGGTTTTTTTGGAAACTCCTTGTAGAAGAGGATCGGAGCACAGCGTTTCCATACGCGTTTCCCTTGAGGAGACATACCTCATCTGGTTTCAGTTGTAACATTTTCTGTAATTCAGGAACCGGATGCATGGCTAGAGCACGGTGATCGTATTTTTCTCGTAAAAATGCAGTGCGATGTCAAAACTTTGCAATGTCCATTTGCTACTGCTGATTTTGCCTGAAGCATCAACATTCCCAATCTCGAGATAAGGTGGGAGATTCCGTGCACACTGTTGCAGCATCAGGGTCCTCAAAACCTCTCACAACTGACCTGGCTGTTGCTTTCCTCCCCTTTGGAGTTGATGGTTCCATTTTCCATCGTGATGACATGATTCTGGATGGATGAATGCGGTCACGAAGGATTGGTTCTATTGAATCTATTGCGGAAGTTTCAACCCAGCATCCTATTTCTTTCCCTTTGGCTTGATCAAATTCAATCTTTTCTGAAGGATTTTTATAGGTTTCTGTACCGTACTTCCACGTGATTTTTCTTTGCTGCTTGAACAAGCTTTTCGACATGAACGCATGGACTCCTGCAAAAATCGGACAAATATTTGGCGGGCGCATCAAATTCGAACATGGACACATTTGCATCTACAATTGAGATGTTTTCTTTCTCTGGCCACAATGTTCCATTACAGTATCTTTCACTGCGCACACATCGATATCATTAGCTTCTACAACGCATTGTAAATAGGCTCGAACGAATCCCCTCCTGATTCATTTGCAGCTTCCCCATTATCCCCATTATCATGCTCCCCTACATGATCATGCTCCCCAGGCTCTGCGGACTCACTCTGTTGCATTCTCACCTGATGGCGCAGTTTTCGATGAAGGATCTCCAGCTTGATCATCATTTAGTTCAGCTCCTGAGGCAGCTGGCTCATCTCCAGCTTCAGAGTCTCTACGATGTGGTTCTTCTTCTGGTTGGGGACCATGTTCAGCTTCCGGCTTGTTGTTTATTTTAACTTTGGTTAGATCTGAACACTGAAACATTCCACTTCTTTCTTTCAGCTGCGATTTCAGTTGTTCTGCCATTTCACGCAGTCGTTTTTCATCACAGGTTTCGCCACTCTGTTGAATCGAATTGAAACAGGTCGAATGTTTTCCCTTGCAACTCTGAGCAATCGGTTCACATGTGTGTGTGTGTGTGACCCAAAGAATTGTTCGGCTCTGTTCCAGTACTATTTGGCATGGTCCTGTCCACCTTCCTTTTCCAACATGTTTGTTGATTTTCTCTTGTCCCAAACCGTGCACAGTTCACCACATCTTCATGGATGTTCCTGCCCTCGGGATTGGTGGTACATAGCTCTACGAATCGCTTGACTGTTGTCTGCATCTAAAAGTGCTTTTCTTGCCAAGCTTCCAATTGATGAAGAACATTTTGGATTGAGTGTCTTGTGGATGGTCTATTGAATGTACTGTGAAATCTTCATATATATATATATATATATATGGACCGGATGCAGGCAAACGCTGGGATCTTCCTAGCACAGCTTGTTCCGGACTATATCCTTTCACAATGGTCAAACTGTTCTTGGCTTGGACGCATTGATTTAATTTAGTGCTAAATCAAATTGCTTTTCGTTTTGGATGGCTTGATACGAGACCAAGGCCGTGTGGAGGTCGGGCACCTTTTTATTTTTAGATCTTCAAGATCTCTCTCAAACGTCTGGACAGTGCTTTCCAGCTCTTCGTCATCCTCCTGGTTCATGACAAAGGCTTGACCTATCCCCAGGTCTTTGAGGCTCTCACTCTCCTCTGGCTCAACGAAGTTGGTCGGGTAAACCTTCTTCTTCGTGGTGTTTCCTGAACCAGTCAAGACATCTGTCGATAGAGACCTCGTGGCTCCTTCGTTGTGTTCTCCAAAGCCCCGTTTGTGATCAACACTTTCTTCATGCGATAAACATGCGATAAACAGCAATGATCGACTCCAGGGTCGTGTCAGGTCCAACTTCATTGAATGCCACCATCAACCTGTTCAAGGAACCAGAGCAGCTCTGGGTTAACTCCTCTGCTTTTTGAACTGTCTTGTAAATAGCACGCTCGAAAAGCTCAAAAGTCTTCAACTCAGCACTCTCTTCCCAGCTTTGTAGAGCAGCTAAGAAATGTTTCACTCCATTCGTGGGATCTGTGAGCAAATCAGGTCAAAGTGCCCTCACCTGATGCCAAGCCGTTCCCGTGCACATCATAGCCAGCCTTGGTGCAAGCATAGGACGATCCAGAAATTGACCTTGGCCAAGTACTCGCGGGCATTGTCAACACTTGGATCGAATGAAGGCAAAAGACTCCAGATCCAGAATTCTTCTCATCACTTGAACCGGCCATGGCTTAACTTTCGGCTCCGCTACTGATGTGACTCCGTTAGGAGATCACAAAGGTAGAACCAACCTACAAACAAACCTACCGACCTTTCCGAAAGGTCCTGTCCGCAACGTCCACGCCGACGCCGTTTCTACATCTTGAGTCCGCTCATCCTTGAGCCACACATATATATATATATATATGACTGATAGCGTCGATTGATTGCAATTCTTGTGGCTTCAAGCTTCATGAATCAGGTCGTTGCCGATCTGGTTCGCCTTGTTTCTTGGGTGCAGGTACCTCTTGGTTCGGCCTGATCTGTCCAGCCCATTGCGGTGCTTCCGGACCTTTCCTCTTCGCCTTCTTCCTTGCAGGCTTTTGTCTTGGTGCCTTGTGCACCGTCGCGCTTGCTTTCTGGGCTTTCTACTCCGGGTTCCTGAACCCCTCTTCTTGGCCACCTCAGCGATCGGCCACTCCCTCCTCTATACGCCTGGGGGCGTATCTCCATGAGCGGGACCGCTCTTGGCATTCTGATTGAGGCAACTCGTGCTGCAGCCAATACTCTGCGAGTTCTTGCTGACACCCTCGAGGCAGCTGCAAATCGGGCATCTTGGGCTCGGGGATCTTCAAATCCCGAACAGGAGGCACACCCATACCGTCGACTGGGACATTCCCAACTACGCCGCCTCTTCGGCAACTCCTGCTCCAGCCTCAGGGCTCTCGACAAATCAGGCCTACGAGCTGGTGGCATCTCGTATTCCTCCTGTACCTGATCATTGTATTGAGCTCTGTTCTCGACTTGGTGGCACGGTTCAGGACGTACGAGACAGGGCTGATCGTGCTTGGATTGCTGGCTGCTGGGCTCGTGCTGCTTTGGACGGTGAAGTTCCTAAGCCGAGGCCCACCGGGAAGCTTCCGACCTATCTCAAGCCCCAGGTCTACATCATCCTCAAGGCAAAGTCCATCGCTGCTCCGACTCGGGTGGCTTGTGCTGCTGATTATTTCAAGTTGGTGCCTCGCTTCGAGGACTCTATCTCTCATTCCTTCCCATCGCTGGCAGAGGGGAAGGTCTATTGCATTGGAGCAGGGGTTCGCTTCCCTGATCCTTGGGAGCAATGACTACAGGAGGAGGGTGGAAGGGGCTGGATCAGGACGTTTTCCAAACCTTGGTGTTGAAAGTGGATTTCGAGGCCGGGGATGGTGCTGGTCCAGCCGAGGCATTTACAATTCCTGTCATTTCAAGGACAGGTGGCATGATGTTGGCTCTTCCAAAGGGCTTTGTTCCACCAGACCTGCTGGAGGCAGGTGGTTTCGCTGGAGAGGCAGATTTTGTGGGACCCTCTCATCTATTGAAGGTTCCGGTTGTCTTGGAGGAGGAAGATGGTTCCCATGTCTCTCTAGACTTCGACATCGAGGTGATGCTAGTGGACTTTCATGGATCTGTGGCAGAAAATCTCAGAGGTTTCGACCCTGTCACCGAAGGCCCGGGGATTGCTGGTTTTTGCGAGGACCTACCCCGAGCCAAACTCCTTGCGGTGCAGTTCTACTCAGCCGACGAGGCTCAACAACTCTCAGGAGAGGGGGGCTCCGTCTACTCCCGTGATCCCCAAGCAGTCAAAGCAGAAGGCCACAACCCCTGCAAAGAGGGTGACCACGGCAGTGTTGGCAGAGCAGTTAGCAGGACTAGCATCCAGTCTCCCTGCTTTATCTACGCAGCTTGCCCAGATGGAAAAGAGACAGGAGAAGGTCGAGTCACTTTTGGCTGCTCCTGCTCAGGCCCTTGTTGCAACCCAGGCCGTGCCACAGCCGTTCAGCTCCCAGGCACCCAATGCCAGCCGGTTCTTGCGGCATGTTGGCAGCCCTCCCAGACTGAAGACTCCTGCCCAAGGAGCGGTAGCTCAGGCCGATGCTCAGCCAGTCGCCCTTCCCTCCCATCCCGACTACCAGCCGAGGATGGGCCAGGTCTCACAGGGTACAGATGCCTACAGCATGTCCGAGCTCCTCTTGCAACAGTCTCAAGCTTTGACAATGCTGGTGTCTCAGATTGCTTCAAACGATGGACTGCACGACCTAGGAGGAGCAACAAGTTCTACTTCGCTATCCCTTCGAGGATCCACGAAGAGAGAGAAGCTGATCTGCGAACTGGCAGGGAGAAAGGGGGATTTTTTCCTCAAGATCGCCCAGAATGCATTCCGCAGGATGAAACCCTCAGATCCAGTGCCTATGAGCCTTGCAGACTTCCAAGGGAGAACTCTGTTCACGAAGTATGTGGAGAAGAGCGGAGGTTTCCAGGGACAGAGGGACTTTGGCTTGGTCATGTGGCTCCTGGCCCATATTGCGGCTGCGGACTACAAAGGAGCGCAAGAACTGTTAGCGTTGACCCTGGTCACAATCGAGCAAGCAGCACAGGATGGAGGAAAATGGGATGTGGCCTGGCTTCTGTCCCTTCAGGAGGACCCTCCTCCTGGAGTTTTCCAAGCTCGTCCGGCAGCTACCAATCCCAGGTTGAGGGCGTTCGCCCCCTTGTGTCCACCAGAGTGGGCCACAGTGGCATTGGCTTATGTCAAGGAAGTGGCCTCATCAACTCCCGTCGTCAGGAAAGCTTGGTCACCAAGAAGATGAACCTGGGCAAGGGGGGAAGAGGAGGCACCGAGAAAGAAGCCACCACGCCACGCAAAGAAGGGAAAAGGAGGAGAAGCCCAACAGTGAGGAGGAGGAAAGCTGGTCGAGATGACACAAGAAATGAAGCTTCACCTTTGCTATGTTCCGGCCTCGGTTCCGATGGAGCGTTTGATTTCCATTGCAAGGCTGCCAGCAAAGAAGGTCCCTCACACAAACAAGGGATATCTACCTCGAGCTCTACACGTTGGAGTAAGAGGACTTTTTCATTTGCTACTTGGTCGGCTTCTTTGCTGAAACAAGTTCTGTCCTCAAGGACACCTTTTGCAGAATTCGTCAAAACTACTCTCCATAGTCACAGTATGCGTGATGCTGCAACTGAACAAGCCCTTTTTCCACTACCTGTGCCAAAACCTGGGATCTTCAGACACACGAAATGTGGGTCACGCCAGCGAAGAAGGTTGAGCTTTGACCAGGCATTCCATATCATCGTGATGGCCCTCAACTTCTGGCATGCAGACTGCTCCTTTGTTCTGCTGGCTTCAATGGCAAGGACGCCTACAAGATCACAGGCAGAGGCTTTAGAGTATCTCCGGGATGTGGTCAGGGCTTCCGGTAGCTCTCGGGAAGAGTTTCTTGTACCTCAGGGTGGCCGTAGACTTCCCACCTTGGTGTCGCTCCTGGATGAGCTGTCAGACTTTTTTTGACAAAGAATGTCATGGAGGCGACCCTTATTCTCGTACGTTTCAAGGAGCGCCTGGCTATGACAATGTGGTCGTAGACAGAGATTTGAGCAAAACTGAGGAGTTGAGGCCCTACCGTGCTTTGCGGCTCATCCTCTATGGGAGTGCTCTTTGGGACCCATCTCCATATCTATCTGATCGACTCTGGATTGCCTACCAGGAGCCTGCCAGCCTTCTCTGGACACTGGATGAAACCGAGGACTCACCAGACCTGGAGAAGGAAAGTTTGGATCATACATGTGAGTTAGCGCTGGTGTGGGATGCTCGCGGTTTGCTATTTCTTCGGAACCAGCCTATCGAAGAAAGCGCTATGCACCTTTCCATGCGCTTCTCCAACAACTACAAGAACCCGACCACTGACAGGATGATAGGTGACCGTCGGGCCAGAAACTATGTCGAAGGCAGATTGGTTTCCACCTCCAGGTGTTTGCCCTCAGCTCAGTGTCTTCTGGACCTTGAGATTTCTGCGAGACATCAGAGGCTGAGTATTTGCGCTTCGGATCGTCGTGACTTCTATCGCCAGATGAAGGTGTCAGAGCAGCGAGCAGCTTCCAACGCTGTTTTTCCTTTGGTGCCTCTCACAGCTGTGGAAGGGACTGCAGCATTCAAAGGCTGGGTGTTGAGAAATCGACGTGGCCAAAGATACGATGGGACAAAGCATGGAGACTTCCTGTTAGCCACTGAGAACTACAAGAAGAAGGAAAGGAACATCCCCCAGCTTTTCCAGATCTGCTTCAACAGTGTTCCCCAAGGTGACCATTTGGGGGTTGAATTTGCTACGGAGGCACACAGGGCGTTCCTGCTACAGAAAGGGCTCTTTGGACATTGTGAACTACAAGCTGGCAGGTGTTTTCGTGGCTCAGATGTTGCTAGTGGCCTCGTCATTGACGACTTCTATTGCATCTCAGTTGACGGGAAAGCTGCCTGCATACAACCCAGAAGGACCATTGAGCCAGGATCTCTCTCGAGCAACCATGCATATGAAGAGAGCTACTACAGCCTACGAAGAAGAAGGACTGTTGGGCTCGCCAGACAAAGATCTATGGGGCTCGCAGAAGGCAAACTTACAACTGTGAAGAGCCCTGCTTCAAAGAGGTTAGCGCTTTCCTATGTCTCAATGCAGTTGGCCTGTGCTCGCTGGACAACTGATGCTCTATGGGTGTGCCTCATTGGGGGATGGACCAATGCAATGCTCTACAGGAGGCCGACTATGTCCATCTTCTCGGAAGTTTACAATGTCTGCCCTGCTGATCAAGTCAGTCAGAGAAAGCCGAAGATCTTCCGACTATCCCGACAGGCAGCTCAGGAGGTTTTGTTGGCTGCAGTGCTCTGCCCGCTCTTCTGCCCAAAATCTATGCCACAGACTCTTCTGATGCCAAAGGAGCTGTAGTGTCGCGAAATTTAGACCAGCAGACCATGAGAGTTCTGTGGAGGACAAGGAGAAGTAAGACCTGCTACTCCAGGATGCTCTCCAGAGAAGAAGCTGTTGCGCGGAAGCTGGATTGGATGTATGAGGAGATCGAGGATCCAGGCAGCCTTCAAGAAGTACCACATCCTGAGAGACCCCATGCTTTCCGCTACCACTTCAGGGAGGTCTGCGGAGCTGGAAAGATTTCAAGATGTTTGGCAGACAGGGGTTGGGTAGTTGGCCCAGTGATAGACCTTGATCGCTCCCCACATTTTGATTTTGCTCACCTTCGAGTCTTGCAATGGCTATTCTATCTCATCGAGGCTGGCCTGCTGGATTCATTCACGGTAGAGCCTCCCTGCACTACATTCTCTCCGGCTCAGCACCCAGCTAGTCGTGGATATGATTGTCCCCGAGGCTATGACCCTTTAGAGGAAAAGACCTCGCTCAGAGCTCTGAGCCTGATGGCTCTTGCTGCTGACCTATGCGTTCCGGGCTCCTAGAGCAGCCTCGAAGAAGCAAGATGAGGAAGCTGGCTGAATGGGCCTCTTTGGTTGCCAGAGGTGTGGCGTATGAGGTTGCAACGGACGGACGGACGGTGGAGGTTTAGCCCAATTTTAAGCGTTTGTAGTGCACCGGTTGACGTGGATAAGAGGAAATGACACAGAGAATGGCACGGCTTGGAGTTCAACCCACTGCGAACTGCGAGAGGCTGTTTGAGGATCAAAACGATTCTTCAGACGGCGTGGCTTTCCGTGGGTTCTCGCGGGGGTTCCTCTCGAGCGCTCGTGATGATGAGCCATGGATTTCTCCTTCGCGATCACGATCGCGTTCGAGGGGAGGTTCGACAACAGATGAGGGTGAGGACCCGCTGGCCTTTCGATGGGCCGAGATGGCCGCTCAGCAGATGGGCGCAGATCTGGATGCCTTCCGGCAACCTCTTCGAGATCCCATTGCATCTTGCCACCGGCATGATAAACACAGGGGCGTCAGAAACACATTGGCTTTAGGATGGAGAGACATTTGCAGACTCAGGTACTGTGCACAGCATGCAGTCGGACAGGTGCCCCCTCACACGCCTTGGTAGAAATCCTGGGTGAGAAGAACTTCACAGAGATTGCAGCAAGCGAAAAGCATGTTCCTAGTCCTATACTTTGGTTGACGAACAGCTGATTGGCTGATCTCGACATTTTGCTCCACATGTTTTCGAATTGACTTCCATTGGAGCACGTCTTGAACGAACGCGCCAGACATTTTGTTCCATTGAATTTTGCTTTTGAATGTGAAACCTACATTTTGTTCCATTGACTGGCTGAATGTTGCTCCTGGACTCCTTTCTGTTCTGCGTCTCAGGGACCCACGCGATCCTTCCTCTTGCAGAACATCCAGGCGGAGAAATGCTATGTCAGCATGAAATCAGCGAGGACCGGTGTCAGTTTCTGCTGCAAAGGCGATATGGGTTTGCTTTGAATGATCAATGGAATCAGTGGTTTGCACGTCGTTGTGAATCTGAATTAATCTCCCTCCCTCGCTCTCTCTGTCTCTCTCGCTCGTCCGGCTTCGAAGTTTGTGAGCAGTTGCTACATTTCCTGTCGGCGTGATCTTTGTTAAATGCTGGAGCCTGCAGGTTGGAAATAAATCGGGCTTCTTCTGTGGCCATTCTTGGTTCACACGCCACGACTCGTTGATTCTGTGATTTTGTCTCGCTGGAGGACCGGTGGCCGGTGTGCCATTGCAGAGCGCGATGTGCCGGCCTTGCCAGCTTTTGACCAGGAGGAGAGGCGGTTCACATTGTCATACATTGTCACATTGTCATCTGTTTCAAGAGTTCTTGGTCTCATGGCTCAGTTCTTGCTGCTGCTTTGACTCGCTGACTGACTGCTCGTGTTCAACTTGCTGATTGGAGGACTACACCAAAGAAGATCTGTTTGTGGCCGGCTTCACGTGCAAGGCATATTCACAGGCCATAGCGCTGAGTTTCTTTAAGTCTTTGCAGTCAATCCGAATAAAAAACTACTAAACATAAGAAAGACTGAGAGACTCAACCGAAAACAGGGTGAATTGAAAGCGTCTCTGAAACAGTCATTATCTTTTCATTTGTGAGGAATCATCAACGCGCTACTCGTACAAGTCAATCCAGAGCCTGTTCTCAGCGTAAGCAGGAATTTGTCTTCCTGCTGACCGGCTGACCGGCGTGGAGGGCAGATCACTACATCGAAAATGCACTGGGGACCACGAGCACATCCCCATCCAGGGCCAGTACACAAAGCCTTCATACACTGATGAGCTAGCAGAGGCGGTTGCTGATCGTTTTGATGTGGCACTCAAGGCAAAGTTGCGGACGGAAAGGCCATCTATGGGAGGCCTTGAAAATCTGCTGTGCAATGATGTGCTGCTCAGTGGTCAGTGGTCGCCGTGTGGAGATGGAAGAAACCTCTGCAAAAAAACATTCAGGAGACCCTGACGGTTGAGCGAAAACGCTGAGATGACCCGTCGCAGGGGTCGCTGGATCAGTTCAAAGGTCATGGAGGTGTACATCCAGGAGGCTTGGTCGGTGCAGTTCATGCCAATGCTCCCTCCAGTCATCAAGAAAGCTGTGTTTGAAGGTGCTGGATTGTTTGATTGGGTGCTGGACTTTACTAGCAGATTTGCAGCAGCAGGTATACCAGACAAGATTTGGTTTTTCCTGTTGCGTGAGCACGCAAAGCTCGACAGCAAATGATTGGTAGAAGTGAAAGAGGTGGGTGAAGATGGAACACGCCAAATGGCCCTGTGCACACCCCCTCGACTATGGAGAAAAGAAGCGCTTGAGACGTTATATATTTATGTTTATGATATATATATATATATTTTTACTTATATACATATACAGACACAAGTGCTGCACTCCAACGTCCACCTTCAACGTCCACGATGTGCTTTGAGCCTGTCAGAAAAATGTGCGGGGGTTATCCGACATCTCAACATTGCCGATTTTGCTAAAACTTCAGGATTCACTGCGCCTAGCAGGGAACCTGTGACCTGAGGACAAAAGCCACCATATCCAAAGTGCTGTGCCTGTGTGAACTCTGCACTGGAAATCCATTCTCCTGCACCTGTGACCCTTCGCAAGGGTAGACTTTGAGACCTTAGATGGAACTGCAGAGGGCCCCGAGCACCATCCTTTCTATTTCTGCCGCAAAAACCCTCACTCAGTGCAGTGGTACCTCTGTTTGGGCAAAATTGTGGAATTTGGCATGCGGAGGGTTGGATACTGAGGCGAAGCTTGTCCAAGTCAAACATCCTCATTTTGGAGGAACTTCAGAGGATTGTTCCACAGGCCAAGCTAGTGACGCGACTGGCTTCTTGCAGCTCAGAATTTCGAAACTTTATGCGCCATGCTGAAACTGAAGTGCGGAAGCTTCAGCAACAGCTGTCGAGTTTGTGCCTTGGCTGCACTTGAGAACCTCGCACATATGGGTTGTCACCTGATTTCAAAGCTAATTGTCCTTCAGATAGCGCAGTTGTGGCGGAGTGACGCTCTTTGCATCACAGCACTGGCCAAGCCCCCTTAGAATGCTCCAGACTTTTCTCCACCTCTTCCCCGCACAGAGAATTCTGTTCTTTTTTTGTACCGTCTAGTTGCTGACTATTATATAAGACTTTGTGTTGTTTGTTTATTGGCGTGTGACAGGCTCCCTTAAACCCCAGTCTCGATGAACGTGATCAACAGGATGAAACAGATTCAAGAGCTTTCTGCACGTGTTAGGTGCTTGTGTTGGGGAGAAGCAGCTACGATAATGGGCTTATGAAGCTTACCTGTTGACTGGAGCATATCAAGTGCTTGGGAGACGCTCTTGCTGTCAAGAGCAGGTTTGTCTCCTTTCTTCGAGAACTTGTTAAGCCTATTGAAAGTTCATGCTCAGGATGCTCAGGTGGATTGTTTCCGGTGCATCATTTTCGTCGAGACGCGATCTGCAGCCAGGGCCATGACCAAAATTTTGAATTTTGTGGCTGCGAGCGAGAGTGAGTTTGGATGGATTTCGCCAGTGTGCTTGGTGGGACATTGTAAAAGTGATGATGAATCAATGACAATGGCCCAGCAAAGCAACATTCTCAGCAACTTCAGACAAGGGAAGACAAATGTCATGGTGGCGACATCAGTTGCGGAAGAAGGCATCGATATTCCCAGTTGCAATTTAGTGGTGCGCATGGAGCCTGCTCAGACAGTCATAAAGTTTGTTCAGGCACGAGGCCGTGCAAGATACACGAGAAGTCATTATGTAATAATGTGCTGCGATGCTTTAGATGATGAAGAACAGGTCTTAAAGCTAGTTGAGCGCGAATCAGACATGCAGAAGGTCTTGGATGACCTAGACGTGTCTCATGTGGCTGAAAATTGCTGGATTAGAGAATGTTCTGCCAAAGAGCCAGAGCCACTGCTTGCACTAGATCCAAGGTCCCATGATCATACGCACTTGGCAATTGGTTCAGAGCAGACGGTTCATGGACCAATAGAGGTGAATATGGATGATTTGGTGCAAACTCAAGCAACAGTGAAACAGAAGTTCACTGATGGAAAGTGTCTCTTTGAAACCATGGTTCGTTTGGTACAGTGCCCAAATGAGCTTGGCCGTGTGCCGTTGATGAGAGTCGCCACAGGGATGTTTTCCTTGCTAGGGCGGAGATCTCCGTTTGAAGTTGACAAGCAGGTTTGGTTTTCTGCCGACAATCGCCGTTGCTTCATGTGGAAAGTTGTGGCTCCCTTATGTAACTTGTGCAAGCTTAAGGTTTTGCACGTGAATTGGACAGATGAGTTCGATGCCAAATTGGGGCCATGCAAAATGCTTGGGCCACAGACCCGCCTACAATTGAGGCGGTGCGAAACGAGGTGATTCGCTCAGATCTTGGGTGAACTTCCACTGGAACGACCCGTGAAGTGTTCGAGGCAATATCGAAACGGAAGGACCCTGACTCGTGAAGTCCATGAAGCGTTTGATCCTGAGAGCGACTATGTTTCAATGGTGAATACACACTTGCAAATCACACGCAGGCCACATTCAGAGCAGAGGGTGGCGCAATACGTCACAATTCGCGCAACCACTCCGTTCGTTATTGAAGTTCGACTTGATCACTTAGTTTGGAAAGGCTTGCCGCAGAGCAAAATTAAACTGGCAAAGCAGTCTGCTGCGTACGAATCCTGGAAGACCCTCTCTGAACCTTCCTCTTTCTGAGAGCTCAACGCATCGCTGGGAAAAGTGTTTCGGACATGGCTGCAAACCCTCCATGCACCAAGTGTTCAGTACGTGGGGGACTCTGCCAATGATTCTGAATGGACTCTTTTAGGACGGAAGTCTGTCACTGTCGCTTAGACACTTTGATTCTAAGATCCACTTCTCAAAAGAAAATGGTTGCTCCTTCAAGGTAGAAGTCAGTGTCAGGATTCATGCTTTGCACTGCGACCGCAAATTCAAGAGTGGTTCAAGCAGCCAGTATTTTCAGCTGGCGGCAGGATGACCTATGTGAAGGCATTTTTGCATAGTCCGGCGAATCCTTGTGCAATTCCGAAAACTTGGTTTGACTGGACCTGTGCCACAGGTTGTGGACCACCGTGCCAGCTGCCGGCCGCAAATTGCGCGAACAATGGCACTAGGCCACACACCTCTCACCTCTCACTGCCTGGCTGTTTGTTTGCCTCTTTAACTCCTTGCCTTGTGCCTGAAAGTCTGAAACCTTCATGAGTATGCTCGTCCCTTGATCCAACCACTTCTGCATTCTTTTGCTGTGAATGCTCCCTCCAAGATTACTTTTTTGCTTTTGACAGAACAAACATTTCCTCTGCATGAGGCCGCCTGCTCCTTTCCCTAGCAGCTGCAACAGTGGTGTGGAGCTTTGCTCGGGCAGGAGGCCCTTCACCAAGTGATCCAAACAAAACTTTGAAGTGCAGAGATTCTTTGTGAGCGGCTTGGTTCTTGAGATTCTCTCACTTTCTCGGCTGCCATGTTTTGCTTTTGACAGCCTTGTGGAGGCTCGCTGGACACGTTCGTGGCAGGCTGAAACCCTCATACTGTAGGGCTTTTTGTGCAGAAGGTCAGACATTCGAGGCGTGTTAGTTTCATGTAAGGCACTGCGGATCACGTTGTCCGGGATGTGCAGGTCGGAGCTTAGATTGTGATGCTTGTGCTGCTGGTACGTCTTCATCACAAAACAAGCAACACCTTGTTAAACATTTGGCATTGGAGGGGTATTTTTATTTATTTTTGTTTCTGTTTTGGATTTGTTTGTTTCTGCCTCTTGCTGCTTTTGTTGCTTTTCCTGCTTTTCTGCTTTCTTTTCCTTGCTTTTCATTGCTTCTTGTGAATCCTCTTTCTTTTCTTGCTTTTGCTGCTGGTGTTGTGCTTGGTTTGTTTTATCAGCCTTTTCTTTGGCTTTGTTTTCCTTCTTCTCGTCTTTGTAGCGTATTGATTCCCTTTCGTATTTTTCTTTTTATGGTCTTTGTTGCTGTCGTCAATATATATATATAGTCATATTACTTCACCACTTGTTGCAGTAATGGAAAGCATGTAGACGCAAGACCAGCACAACCCCACAACACTGGATGCTGTGGTAGCCACGAAATCTGCACTAAGTCACTAGATCACTAAGTGCCATGCCTTTTACAACATTTTTTCCAGCTTACAAAACACTTCGCCCGCCATGATTATTTTTCTGGAAATTCGCAGAGTGCTGCGCCTGCCGCCGGAGAAATATGGATACCTTTATGGAATGTTTCACCATCTGTTGCACTAAAATATATATAAAGCATGTACACATCAGACCACCGCAGCCCCATAACAATAAATTCTAAGGGCCACCAGGCGTTGGCCATCTGACAAAAGAATCGGATGCCAAGATCAGCGAGGTTTACACAGCGCTGCGGCGCGGCCAGGTAAAGCTTAGAGAAGGAAAGGGACATTCCAACATAGCACATCTTCTGTGATCCACCTGAGGATTAGAGGTTAACCGTAGGATACCTTTTGCAAGCCACCCGAGAGCGTACAGTGGTTCGCCTGCCCGCAAAAATCAGTTTTGCTTTTGAATATGACATAACACCATCACAACCCACAACGATGGATGCAGAGGGCTACCAGTCTCTTAAGCTATCTGACACTCAGACCTAGATGTTAAGATCGGTGCTCTGTGCTTCCCAAAGTGCACTCCCAGGTTCACAAAACGCTGCGCACCAGGAAATCTGCATTTCCAGCCACACCAGCACCAAAAACAAGGAAACTTGACAAACAAAACCTGACATTATATAATTCCGGGACATGCTGTGCAAAGTATGTTCCTTTGAAGAACATTTTGGACATCGCTTCTAACTTCTGTCTAACGTTGAAGATGACTGTCATATGTTCGACCTTTCGTTTCAGAATTCAAGGTCAGCATGAAGGCAGGAAGGAGCATTCCAGCTGAACAAAAATACAGGCAGGTAGCCAGTGGCCGCCTTCTTGGTTTCCCACCCCTTTGGTGGTGTTGCGATGTGGGCGATGCTGTTCATCTCTGGAGATTGCAGGTTTGAGGGAGCCACGAGAAGGCTGTATTTGAGACGATTACGACACCGGCGTTGGTGTGCACAGTTTCAGTGCTGGCCTGATTGAAACTTCCAATATGCACTTGCTCATGATTTGTTTCGACCTGCTCGCACAGGTTTTGTCTCTTGTGAGGTATCCGCGAACGTTCGGATATGTGCTCAAGTGGAATGACACGGTTTTGACCTCAGGGCAGCAAGTTGATGTATTGAATGAAGGAGAAGCAAGCCAGACCAACTAAATGATTCAAGTCCTCACCTGAGGCTGGAGAAGGCATTGTCATTGACCAAGAACAAACACAAAAGTATTTGGTGATTCGCGATGAACCTTGGCAACCTTGGCTGGTACAGGCCACCCGTAAAGAACCACCTAGTATGATTTCTTTTTACAGCATTCCTGCACTGGGGTTCTGGCAGACATGACCCTGCTCCTTTGCATTTGACCTATGTCTTTGCGGGAGATGGGGAACTTTCTCTGTTTCAAGGCTCAGCATTTGTTAGACACACGCTGTCGGTTTCTGACTTTCTCCTCCTCTCAGGAAATTGGCGCAGCATACCACAAACACGCCACACTGCAAGTTGTGGCTCGACCAGATTTGTTGTCCACCACCGGATGTCTTGTTCTGCTTTGCGCTTTGCCTGCTTTTCTGCAATCTTGCTGCATTTATGCACGACTCAGACTGAATTTGTGGAGTTCTTCAAGACAGATGAGATGGATGAGGTGAAGGGAGCATCATTTCATCAATTATGTTTATCTTAGGCAGATGCCCATGGTCGATTTCCAAACCGCATCCATTTAACCACCATGCTTGCAACAGACACAGCTCACGCGCCCTTCCTCAATAGCATCAGCGGACTTGGCTGGATTGGATCATGAAAGTTGTTTCTGCTCCAAGTATATTTCTTTCAATGTGCACTTCAAGTCTGATTAAAAGGACTTGAAAGAATAGCGTGTCCACGCAACACATAGAAGTTAAGGCCACTTGGATCAACTTGGAAGAAGAACTCCTTCTCCAAGCCTTCGGTTAGTCAGTTGAGAGCAGGTCTGAGCAGGTCCAGTGTCAAGGCGGAACAAAGTAGTTTCAGCCCGAAAGCACCAAGTGGTACGCAGCCGATGGACCCGGGCAATGTGCAAAGTCCACTGAATCCCTGGGCCGCAAGGTGCGGAGCTTTCTTCGTGTCGATCAATCGTGGTGTGTTTGCACCTACTAGCCATGGGCTCCAACCCACTAGCGATGGCCTCCAAGCTACTAGCTCGTCTTGAACATTTAATATTTCCCAGATTAGCTAATAATCAAAAATCAATTCAAACAGTGGTAGCAGGTAGCAGGAGGAAATTGGACACATATGTTCGATGATCTATTTTTTGTCCAATAATTTAAACTCATAAACATATGGCAATCCCAAATCAATTTAAAAACAAGGTTTCAATCCATATGTTTGAATATGATATCCAATTTGAGAACCACAAACAAGATAATCCCAAACTATCATTCCTTCTTCAAAATAAGAATCCAAAAGAATAACTAAAAACATCCTGCATACACCCGAAGATCTGGCTAACAAGAGTTGCGGTAGCCGCTAGCCGCTGCTGTGGCCTATCCTTCCCTATTTGTTCAAGTAAAAGATTGCAGAAAAGAATCAATAAATCCACGATATTATTAGGTAAGAATTACATCATATATTCATTCATTCAAGGTAGGCAGGGGCGGTGATGAGGAATTATTTGATGTCATTCATTTTAAGTGCACTCCTTGAACCTTGCGGCTCAAGCCAAAAAAAGATGAAAGGAGTGACGCTCCTGAAGAGTCTAGTGTCTCTGACTCTTCAACAGTTTTTCTCTTCCTGCGTCGCCATGGACGATCTGCACATGTGCCGTGCAGTGGAGCAGGAGCAGTTCAATACCTGGTGCACGACTGCTGCCATTGCGACGGGCAGTCGCCGTGCCCTTTACTTCACGTCTTATGCTGGGGCGCTGAGAGAGGCTGGGCGAGCTGTGGCCGATGGCTTGGACAGGAGAGCGAGCCGGGCCTGGCTGCCCGGGGGCGCGGGCTTTTTGCATGTGAGTCCCGTCGCATCCCTCTTCTGCAGCAGTGCTTCTCACCTCGTCTTCACCTTCTGTGGCCAGGCCTACACTGACTTCATTTGCTGGGCCTGTCCGGCCCGAGTGTGTGCCGGACGAGCGCCCGTCTGGTGCGTTGAGGGGTGTCGCCTCTTTGTTCCTCCAGGACTTGCTTGGTCTTGTGGTGACGCTGATGCCTCCCCCTTTGGCACGAGAACAAGAGTACCTTACCAACTCGGGCCTTTGCTTGGAGTGGCTTTGCGTGAAGATGGAAGCGGCTATGGTGAAATGAGTGGTGCACACCTGGACGGACCTCCTGAGATACATGGAACACTTGGGCCTTCAGTGGGTTGGATGACCCGGAACTTGTGGGTTCCTTTGGCCCTCAGTGAAGCTGCAACGCCTGCTCCTGTATGCCTCGGGCAGGGCCAGGCCCAGGCCGCAGCATTGGAGCCAGGCATGGTGTCTCCTCGGACCCTTGAAGAGGCGTCGCCTCCCACCACAGACGGCGGCGCCGGCTGCGCCTCAGCAGGTGGCCCCTGCTTCTGCGGCGCTGCCTGTGCCATCTAGCCCGGCTCAGGTGGCGCCTACAGCCCCCGTCAGGGCCCGGAGTTGCTGGCAGTGGCTGTCACAAAGAAGCCGCAGCTGCCCGCTGCCAAGGCCAGACCCCCGCCGCCTGCGGGGTAATTGAACGCAGTCTCAGATGCAACATTCGATGCTGCCGCTCGTGAGCGTCGTTGGCAGCGACTTGGGTACAGCGCCGAAACTGAACCTGCTATGTTTATTTTTCCTGGATGCTGATGGGCATGGTTTCGTGTACCTTTCCGACCTTCCTACTGGCCTCTGGGTGTATGCCATGGAGAAGGTAGCCAATGATGTGCCTTGTGGAGTGTGTTGTTGGGATCTCTTCCAGCTGGCATGCCCTGTGTCTCAGGGCCCCAATGTGATCAGGCCCTGCAGTTTGTCCGCAGGGAGTGATGGTCTTTGGGTTTGAATGTCGCAGTGCCCTGTCTCGTTGGATTCCAGCGTGTGCTCCCTGGATCGTTATTGGCTTGACCTTGCCGCACCACTGTTGATGAAGCCGGTGACTGCATTGAGAGACTGTGAGCCATCGACTGCCAATGAGTACTGAGATGCAAAGGGAGTGAGAGCATGTTTTTGTGGGCCTGACCAAATTGTCCCGGCCCATTTCCGGTGTGAGCGATTTCCATTTTGCCGGTGTGGTGTCTCCCTCTGAGAGGCTCATTTTGTGGTTGCAGTCTGCAGG